GTACGATCAACGTACTCAATGTTCACATCACTGCACGGCCACCATCACCGACCACCTAACACGATCACTTAATTTATTTTTAGACGCCGATTGCTACTTATGTAACACTTTTTTGTTAAGGTTAGAAAAAATGTCAACCCTTTGGCCAGGAAGTTCAGTTGCTGTGTCAAAACATGTGTCGGTAGGTCACTGTGTCGATCCTGGTTGCTGATGATCAAAGTGATTTCTGGTGGGGTAGCGCCTAGTGCACAGCTGATCGCAGATATACGGCACTACCGAAAGACGTAGTGACTGACGGTGTTCATTTCACTGTACGGTCACTAACACTGTCCACTTGTCACAATCACGTTATTTACTTTAAACAGATTTGTTATTTAGCGTGTTATTCTTATGTTAATTTATTGTTATAAAGAAACGTGTTGTTCCTTCGTTAATTTGTTGTTATAGTTTCCGCACTTTGATATGGGTGCTGGTCAGCGTGGTACTATGCCGCAGCTGCACTATCTCCATTGTACTCTACGTAAATCCGGAGCATTCGAATATACTCGCGCGAAGAATACATGGTTCACTGCAGTCACGAGATAATGTCTGAGATTTTTTCTAAGGAGCTTCTTCTACCCCCAAAAGTCCGTAGTAAAACTTTAGGTGGAAATATGTTAGGGCCAATGACAATTTAGGACGGTTTTCCGATTGTGGACCGCCTACGTCACGCAACTCACAAGTTGCCATTGGGCAAAAAATCAATGCGCAATAACTGCTTTTCTCGAACCCACTCTCGAAGTCCCATAAATTTACCAGCGAGAACACAACATCAAACTGCTTGCTATGTCTAACTTTCACGCATCTGTTTCATATAAACGTCCCTCTAGGTCGCCGATAGCCGCAAGACCCAGCGTGGTCTTTCGCGACCATGCAACGCCAGGTCTGCTTCGTCTCATGCACCCTCTTTCAAGATTGCACATAGTCTAGAAACCCTTGTAAATTCTCCAATGGTCCCTGAGCTACAAGGTATCGGCCTGCGACTCCACTTAAAAGACATTGACGCTAACAAACACACATGTGTTTTGCAGAAGTGCCATCGTACAATTTCACAAGAGAAAGAATTTGTTCAAGAAATACAACCCTTTGGAATTTCATTATTTTCGTGAAAATGGCTTATGCTTATGAATTTATATCTCGAAAACTATTTATCAAGATCAGTTGATTCTTGGGCCCCACAGAAGCAGCAGCACGCTGCCGCCTCCAGGCCCTCCTCTCCGCCCTCCGAATGCCACGAGCGGGATCAGTTCTCTCCCAATCCCACTCGTCGGCCTCCTTTTTCCGGAGGACCGCCTTACAGAAGGAGGCCAGGGCGTTCCACGACACCTCGTCGCAGACCATAGCTTGCACCACCGCCTGCAACGAGAGGTCCCATTCGAGTACGCGCTGGAGGGCCTGCCTTCACCGGCGAACGACGGGCACTCCTCCAACGCGTGCTGCGCGGAGCCCAACTCCGCCCAGTATTCTTGGCATTCCGCCGTCGCCTCCGCCCCAATTTTGTGCAGATACTCCCCGAAGCATCCATACCTGGTGAGCATCTGCGTGAAGCCGTAAGTGAGCTTACCATGCCCACATATTGCGGAGGACTTGCCTGCCTGGCAGAATTATTGCCGGGACAATGTCATAGCTTGCGTTAAATAAAAAAAAATAATAATCACCAATAAATTGAAAAGAACACACCCTTTCGGAAATTCACCTGCAGCTTGCAGACATGTGTCACTAGATCACTGTACCGATCCTGCTCATCGACGGACGAAAAGGTTTATGGTGGGTCACGGCCCCTCGACAGCCGATGGCGTTTCAGGGGCCACTTCGAACGTCTGGTCCCCCGGGTGAAGGGGGTGGCGACCCTTCTGGGCGGCCTCCTGCCCAACATCGGAGGGCCAGAGGAGAGAGTCTGCCGCCTCTATATGGGGGTGGTGAGAGCAATTTTTTCCCGGTAATAATTCTGCATGTTACCGTACCTAAATTTTTCTTCGAGCTTCTTAAAGAGAATTATTTGTTATTAGTATCATTGTTGCCCGTTACTGGACTACGGATTTTTCTGTCAATAACGAACTACGGTCACTTTTCGTTCATTTTCTATTACATTACCTTTTCGTTAATACGTTATTTGTATATGTATATATATATGTTATACGCTATCTTCAAATAATTATTATTTCCGATTCTGTTTACAAAAATAATTGTGTATTTGTATTCTTCCGTTACACATGATTTTCCTACATTTATGTTTCATTCATTCACTTTAAATGACAAACAGAAGATGATAAAAAAGTTCGATTTGTTACGGCTTTGTTATTTGCTATTATACGCAGTTTCCTAGGATGCATGCCGACTTGCTTGTTCGGAGCTTTATAGTACAAGTGCAGCGCGTAGCCACCGCTGGCGCGGGAACTCGGCTGGCAAACTCACGCTCTGATTGGTCGGGGTTTTTCGTTATGATCTCGTTAACAAAGCCCCGGATAACATTTTTGCTACGGAAAAAGTTGTTTCAAATCATCCCAGGAACCCCTCATTTCTGGGAGTCGAAACATTTTTGAGACACCCTGTATGTATATCCCTGTAGCGTATGCACATTTTGTTACTTTTAAAACATCTTAGCCTACGTGTATGCGACCGTGCATTAAACTAATTAACTAATAATTAATTAATAATTATTCAATATTAATTATTAATTATTAGTCATTATTTAATTAGTTTTTGTTTATTTATTTTTTAATTTAACGCAAAAGTGGCGCAAACTATCTCTATGTGCTTCCGCAAGGAACACAAAGTTTTAGACCTTTTTAACTTTTATCGTCGTGACATAGGTAGGTATACATGTTATACGT